GAAGGAAGGAAGGAAGGAAGGAAGGAAGGAAGGAAGGAAGGAAGGAAAAAGGAGAGGAAGGAAAGACCACAAACCTTGATACTACTAGATGCAGCTTCAGAGGATGCTTTGAAACAGCACAGCAATCCAAGGCTGGATGGTACCTTGGGGTCATCTAGTCCAACCCCGTTCCAGAAAGTGAATTTCTGTCTTTTGAACCCCCCAGTCACATGATCACATAGCCACGCCACCCCAAGCCATGCCTACAGAATTGGTTCTAAAAAAATTTGAATCCCACTGCTGAGTGATTCCCTTAATAACTGTGATGAAAAGTTATAAACTGGGGCAAAATCCACTTGACAAACCTTTTGTTTAGCAGCAGAAATTTGGGGGCTCAATTGTGGTCGTAAATCAAGGATTACCTGTATATAAGTGGTAGTAAGAAAATGAAAGGGATGGTTGAAAATGAAAGAAAATGAAAGGGATGGCTTCATTTATATTTTCAAGTAAGTCAATCCTGAAATTCCTTCCAGCCTAGCTAACATTCTTGTCAATGGGGAATGGAAAAGTGGGTCTTCCCACTTTCTAATCTGCAAAGCAAAAGATGGAGAAAAATAAATCTTCTATCTTTTTTTCTACTCCTGTTTTTTTTTAATTTATTACCCAGGGAAATGATGACAAAGAGGTCATGTCCAAATATTTCTAGAGATAATCTGCCAATATTTATATTTGTGGGTTGCAGTATAAAACAGTTCAAGTTGTGTAACCTGCTATGAAATTTAATAATGTTACTTCATGTTTGGAATAGTTTTGCTAGCAATTAATTGCAAGCCCGAATGTGATAATTACAGTTAGCTTCATGCCAAAACATTTAAGCCTGATCCTTGCATTTGGACTTTTTGCACATTACGCTAACAGAAGCTGTTCTCTTATCCTGAAACATGCACAAGTCTATTCCACTTCATTATATGTGCTTCTCATAATACTGACCAACAGAAACATTCTTTTGCGTTCTAATATTTAACCACAATTTTATCCCTGTAGGAAATTCTGTCCTTTTCTCCATCATTCAGCTACTGAACTGTAAAATATATAAAATTGAAATTGTTTATGTTACTCAATGTCAGCAAGCATTTCCTTGCTAAGCTGATAATATGTCTAGGTTTCCCCCTCAAAGTATACACCTAAATTTTGAGTTACCCAAGTCCCTCCCCACTAAAACCCTACTGTCCACCTTTAAGATCAGACGAAGCTTTTTAAAAAAGTGCTTAAAATATATTACAGAACTGTTGCCAAATATCTACATATTTGTAGCTAGTGAATACCACGCTCAAGGCTTGCCTATGAATCCCCTGGCATGGTCATTGTGGAATCCATAATTAAACTCTGATTTACACAGGGGCCACTCATCTTTTGATGAAAATGTAGTCTTAATCAGAATTTTGCTAATGTGGAGAAGTGATCCTCATTTACATTATCCTGACCTTTTAGAGAATAGGTGGTTGTAATGACAACAAATAAGTGGCTATCAGATGAAATTGGAGTCATTTTTATTATTTTTAAAATGCTTCCTTAATTTGAAATTCAGTGGATGCTATGCAATGAACTGTAAGTGCTTTTGAGTCTGTGTTGCTCAACCTATACCAATACCAAGAATGATTTATATTGATTTTTTTGATGCAGCTAATGAATGCAACCAGCTGGCTCTTGCCCACTATTTAATCTTCAAGTGAGGTTTGTTTGAAGCAGCTATATTTCTTCATCCTTATTCCATTTATTTGTGTAAGTAACAGAAATCTAATGATGGAATCTTTCTATTCTTGTTCTGATAGGTCATTTGTTTGGGTGCAAAACAGAATGAATTGCTAGTGGATTATCAAAAGAAATTAAATTCTATAGAGGCTAACAACTATGCAGGACTTGTACCAGTATTTGAGGAAATTGAAGCTGCTCTCAATGCACCAGGGAAACAAAATAATGAAGATAAATTTTAGTATAACTTAATTTTACTGTCTTGGCATCTTGTGTGTCTATTTCTCTTATATTACAATAGCCTAGCTAGAGTTAATGTCAAAATAACTGGAGGATACCAGATACACGATAAGGTGTAAGATGATCCTTGATTATTAATAGTTGTCCTTTAAGTTTTTTTGTTTCTGTATTTACAGTAAATTGAGACTGGGAATGGTTTCCAAATTGTGCTTCAATCTGAAAGTTTCAATTCAATCCAGCTGTTGAAAAGATATTACAGTCAATGTTGGATATTACAGATAGCCCTTGTTTAACAACCGTTAGTTCAGCAACCAAAGTTACATTGTAGTATTCCTATCATCATGTAATGAAAATTTGGGCATTTGGCAGTCAACTCACATTTATGATTACAGCATGTGCTTCAACTCCCCCCACTTTCCTATCTCCCGTTGCAAAAGTCAGCTGTTAAATGATGTTTCATTTAATGACTACTTAGCAATGGAAACATCATCCCAATCTTAAAAATTAGGGTTCTTAAGCAAGGACCAAATGTATAGTATGTTAACTTTGCTGTCATAGTTATCCCAGCCTCCAGTCAGCAAGCTTTTTAAAAAGCTGATTTAATCACAACTCATTTTATTTAAAAAAATTATATATGTGTGTGTGTGTTTTCTTAAGTTTTTGCGGGTATTTATATGTATGGTATTCAACTTTGTTTGGGTATTTATAGTTGTGCTTTTAAAATTGTAGCAACATTTCAGCAGAATCTCATCTGCCATCATCAGGCTTGTGTATTGGGTTCGTCTATGTGTCAGGCTTTCACTGCCATTTTTGTTTTAAATTTGGTGCTAGCCTCGTGCTTTGTTAGAATGGTTTTTTCTTCATCCTGATTGGTTGGGACTCTTGGTCTGTGTTTATTGGTCTTGGAGTTTGCTGTGTTCTGCTTGATTGGTGTTTCTAATATCTTCTGTCTGCTTTGTAGCATTTTTTTGTCTTGATTAGCTGGCAACATTGTGTTTTATGTATTGGGGGCTCTAACGTGCTGCTTGGCTTCAGGTGAATGGCTCGCTATCATTTATTAGGAAGCTAGGTTTCATCTGGGTGGATGGCTGGGGTGTGTTTGGGCAGGAGGTATTGGGAGGGGGGTCTGTTTGTGCCCAGGTGTTTGTTTGGCTTTTGATGTGAAGATTTTTTTGTTTGTGAGTGCAGGCTTCCAGATAATTGACAGTCTGGTGGAGTCATCTATTCATGCTTTCAGGTCGTTTTTTCAATCTCTATGGCTTCTCTGATAATTCTGTAGCTAGGGTTTTCTATGGTGGCTAGTGTTTTGGTGCCATTAAAGTCGATGCTATGACCTGTGGCTTTCATGTGTTGGACTAGTGAGGAAGTGTGTTCCAGCTTTTTTATTGTATTTTTGTGTTCATCAAAGTGGGTACTTATTCTTCTATTGGTCTGCCTGATGCATTTGGCAGGGCATGATGCACAGGGGACTTCATATATGCCTTGGTTTTCCAGGTCAATTTTATCTTTGGGGTTTCTTAGGATGGCTGCTATTTTTCTGTCTGTTTTGAAGACAGTCTTGATGTGATGCCTGTGTAATATCTTACTGATTTTGTCTATTGTACCTCTTGTGTAGGGCAGGACAGCTGTTTCATAGGTCTGTTCATCCTCTAGGTCTTTATTATGTCTCAATGTGTTTTTATGGATCAGGCCTGTGATTTTGCTTTTGTGGAAGCTGTTGGCTGTCAGTACTTTGGTCAGGGTGTATAGTTCAGTCTTTATGTGTGTCTTGTCTGCCAGGTATTTGGTTCTGACAGTTAGTGTTTTGGCCACGGAGTTTATCTGTGCTGGGTGGTGGTGGGATTGGGAGTTGAGGTCGCAGTGGATGGGTGTTTTCTTCTGGTATATGGTGTGTCCTAGTGTGCCATCTGTTTTTTTGTAGATTAGTATATCTAGGAATGGTTTGTTTGTTTCTATTTCCATAGTGAATTTGATTTTGGGGTGTGTGCTGTTTAGGTGTGTTAGGAAATTGTTTAGGTTTTCTTTTCCATGGGGCCAAATAAAAATGTGTCATCGATGTATCATAACCATAGTTTGGGTTTGTGGGTGGCATTTGCCAGGGTTCTGGATTCGAATTCTTCCATGAACAGGTTTGCAATAATGGGTGACAGTGGGAGCTCCTTCAATTTGCTTGTATTTTTGTCCTTTGTATATGAAATATGTGTTGGTTAAGCAGTGTTCTACAAGTTCCATGAGGTGTTTGGGTGGTTGGTGTTTGTTTTTGGTGGTTTGTAGGGTTTCTTGTATTGGGATTTGAGTGAAAAGTGAAACCACATCAAAACTTACAACATCTTTTTGTTCCACATGTAGATCTTTGATCATTTCTAAGAGGTGGTATGAGTTTTGTACACACTTCCTCAGTAGTCCAACACATAAAAGCCACAGGTCATAGTATCAACTTCAATGGCACCAAAACCCTAGCCACCATAGCTACAGAATTATCAGAGAAGCCATAGAGATTGAAAAAAGACCTGAAAGCATGAATAGAAGAGATGACTCCACCAAATTGTCAATTATCTGGAAGCCTGCACTCACAAACAAAAAAATCTCCACACCACAGTCCAAACAAACACCTGGGCACAAACAGACCCCCGATACCTCCAGCCCAAACACACCCCAGCCAGCCACCCAGATGAAACCTAGCTTCCTAATAAATGATAGCGAGCCATTCACCTGAAGCCAAGCCGCGCTAAAAGCACACAATACATGAAACACAATGTTGCCAGCTAATCAAGACAAAAAAATGCTACAAAGCAGACAGAAGATATTAGAAACACCAATCAAGCAAAACACAGCAAACTCCAAGACCAATAAACACAGACCAAGACTCCCAACCAATCAGGATGAAGAAAAAACCATTCTAACAAAGCACAAGGCTAGCACCAAAGTTAAAACAGAAGCGGCAGCAAAATCCTGACACACAGAGAACCCAATACACAAGCCTGATGATGGCAGAAATTCTGCCAAAACGTTGCTACAACTTTAAAAGCACAAGTATAATGATGTGGGAAAATTTAACCCAAACAAAGTTGAATACCATACATATAAATACCCACGAAAACTTAAGAAAACAAATATCCGACCTCTATGGGCAGGAAATAAACAGCCGGACCAAAACCTATGAGAAGCTGGAATACTATGTGACCTCAAATTCCTACGCAGCTGCAGAGACAACAATGCAATATTGACCTGCTTCAAATTAATATTTCAGCACAGCACAGCAGCTACCAAACATATCCTGAAAAGAACTGAAATGGCTCTACTCAGGAACGAGCTTCACAATAAAAGATTCCAACTCAACTAGTTAAACAAAGACCTCCTAATCCTACACCTGGAATTGAGCAACAAAATCCACCCTCTACTTTGGGACAAGATAAAACAACTCACAACTTGGAGAGCTGAAACTGAAACCACTTACAAAAATGACAAACTCCTGAAGAAACTAAAGAAATTAGAACATGATAAGAAAGCCTCCAACAACCCACAACAACACCTGAAACAATTAGTATACATTATTTCCAATAGAGAACTCACCAAAACAGAAACAAATGTCCTAACCAAAAGATTCAACTAACTAAATTAAATACAGATGAAGCTGATAGAGTAAGACACTGAGTCACTAACATTCTCTGCACAAGCAAACCACTTAAGCAACTTACACAAAGAGGAACAAAAAGCCCTGCAAGCCCTAAAGAACGACAGCAGCATAATCATACTTCCAGCAGATAAAGGTAATGCCACAGTAGTAATGGACAGAAAAGACTACAAATCAAAATTGACAGACTTACTCCAAGACTCCACATACAAACCCATAAACACAGACCCAACCACATATCTCGAAAAATAACCAAGAAGAAAATCATAACCAGCAACATGAGCAAAGAGATCCAACAGATGATTATCCCAAGAGAAAAATCTTCCAGATGCCCCAAACTATACGGCCTCCCCAAAATACACAAAGAAGGCATACCTCTGAGATCCATAATCAGCTCCAGAGAAGCACCACTACAAAACCTAGCCAAATACCTAGCAAAGTAGCTACAGCCCCATGCTGAAGCAGCAGCTTCACATGTACAAAACTCATACCACCTCTTAGAAATGAACATGTAGAACAAAAAGATCTGCTAGTAAGCAAGGAGAGGATAACATAGAAAAGGCACTACGTAACCTAAAACCATCCCTATCTATTGGCCCTGATGGGTTATGTGCATACTTCTTAAAAAAGCTCTCCTTTGCCATAGTGGAAACCCTAAGCATTATATATGAGATATCTTTCAGAACAAGCTCCTTACCAAACCTATGGTCCTTAGCTTTGATCATCCCTATCTTCAAAAAAGGTGACCCCAGCCTGGTTGAAAACTACAGACCAACTACAGACCAATCTTATTGTGTTGTGTCGCATGCAAAGTTATGGAATCGATTATTAATCAATGCATTACCTTTCACCTAGAATCAAACAACCTATTCTTCAACAAACAATTTGATATCAGAAAAAAAAATGTCCTGCAATTTCTACACTGCAAACATATGGACTACATTACTTGACCAGGACAAAGCAATAAATGTAATTTACATAGACTTCTGCAAAGCCTTTGACTCAGTGATATATGCGAAACTACTATTAAAATTAAAATCTTATGGCATTTCCAGATCTCTTCGTAAGTGGATTACTGCATTCCTGTCAAGCAGGCAACAATTAGTAAAAATAGGAAACGCCCTATCAAACCCTGCACCAATTATCAGTGGTGTCCCCCAAGGGAGCGTTCTAGGATTCACACTCTTTACACTCTATATAAATGACCTTTGTGATCACATAAGTAACTGTGTCCTCTTCGCTGATGCTGTAAAACCATTCAACGCCACCTTCAATGCTACTGTCCTTCAAAGTGACCTTGATTATGTGTCTGGTTGGCAAACGGTTGGCAACTCAAAATCTTGACCAACAAATGCTCTATCCTACACATTGGTAAAAAAAAATCAATACACTAAATACAAGCTAGGCGGATATGACCTCATTGACGACCTCACTCTGTCAAAGACCTTGGAGTTCTCATATTGAATGTCCTAAGTGCCAGAGCTCATTGCAACAACATTGCAAAAAAGTCTTTAAGAGTTGTAAATCTGATCTTATGAAGCTTCTTCTCTG